AGTCTTTTCCAACTGAAAGCGACTCTAAAGGGCAGAGTAGAGCAACTACGTACGGTTTCCAAAGAGCAGAAAGCCTTGAACTCTAACTTGGTAAAGAGCAGCCTAATGTCCAATGTTTAATCCACTAGACCACTTGGAATCCTTTAAAGGTCAATATGTGGGGAAATCTACAATCTATGAGAGTAAGACTAAAAAAGTTGATTCCGACTCATAAGAGACCTTATAGGACAAGGTTTGCTAGAGCAGAAAGTATCATTTTTCTCCCACAGAGCAGCTGGTGCTTATACAATCCTGTGGTTAGCAACCAACAGCTCATTTTATAAGCAGCAGGATGGCATTCCAAGGAATCCTGTTCACAATTACTCACGGGTGAATCCTACTCATGATTATTCACAAGTGACTCCTATCAGAATCTCCCACTACGTTCTTACCAGACCCATGCAGCAAAAGGTCATTTGGTGGGAGGAATTAGAAACTGTGGCTATAAGAGCCACATTAAATAATTCACTGCCTCTGAATAACCCACTATGCCACTAGAGCTCCTAAAAACAATATCTTCACACTTTCCTACTGTTACTAAAATTAGAAACCTTCACTAAACAAAACTATCAAAATGTCAAGTTCTTTTCCTCAACATATTCCCTATCTAGATTTATGTACTTTGGAAGGTGGCGTATCCATCTCTCTAACCTTTCCCTAACAAACTCCACACTTCTTTATTTACACCATGTCAAAACAGCAGTTTGAGTATCCTTTAGGGACTCAAATCATGTCCATTTTAAATGTTCTTTGAGTTTGGGGAACAAAAAGTCTGAGGAACAAGATCAGGGGTGGAGGCTGGACATGGTCAGGTTTTCCAGAGAAAGATTTTCAGACAGTCATTGCTACACTCAAAGAAGGACCAGGTACATACATCGTTGTGATAAGGAGAAAAAATTCCTCAGCTTAACTTTTCTGGCCTGTTTCTCACTCATACAGTTTTCAAATTCTTCATACCCCATAATCATCCCGTGGCCTTCAAGTAAATCTATCATGACAACACTTTTGGAATTTTAAAAAACATTTGCTATAAACTTCTATGTTGAGTGTTATACTATGAATGTAACTGGCAAAGCAAGTCCCTTTGGAAGCCACTTGCTTTGACTGAGTCTTGCTTTCTGAATCACACTGGTAAATTCAAGATTTGTCCCTGGTTACCATTCATTCCATAAATTTGTCTTCATTAACTTGGATCTTGCTTATGAGACTGATGAAAAGATCAACTTTTTGAACTAGGTGATCTTCAAATGACACTTTTGGCACCCATTGAGGCAAAAGCATGCTGAAGCCAAGATCTCTGATTAAAAGTGAAAATGCCAAGCCATGTAGCATTCCAAACACGGCAGCTGTCACATCAATAATTCCACGGCTTTCTTTCAGGTCTTCAGTTTCAGTTTCTTCCCTGGTCAAATTTGCAGCAAGTCTTCCCTCTCCTTGACTCAACTGGAGGTCTCCTTTACTTTCCTTAAAATTTCTGATTCGTATACACAATGCAATTTTATGTGTGGCAGCATTCCTGTAAACCTTTTGCAAGGTTTCAATGATTTAGGAAAATGTTTATTGAGTTTTGGTAACAATTTGGTATTAGCCCTGACCTCAAAATAATTTTTCCATAGCACAAAAAAAAAGCATTCATTTTTAAAGCCATCCTAATGAGACTAAGACAAATGAGAATTTGTCTGCAGACATCCACTGATCAGAGAAATATTTAAATATATTGTTTGCAATCAACTTGAGCAAGTGTGAACTAGAACCTTAGGAGCTATCAAATGTCAAACCATAATAGAGATTTATTTTAAATTGATGTAGTAAAAATTCAAATGAATTACAACACTCTTTAGCATTAACAAAATGAAAATGATCTAAATTTAAAAA